TTTTAAAAATCTTATATAGTAGGCCAATCATATAGTGCTGCACTATGTTTGTAAATCATTTAGCGTGGAACACCCCAGTCGACTATATATAGAAAGTTCTAGATTTAAACTCCGGTGTTCTGCTGTGTTCTATTTTCACATGGTTATACAGTACAAAAAAATTTACAACCGATTTTATATTAAAATTTGAAAATCATTTACTCTACCCTTAAGAAATGTAAAATATTTTATAAGTCATGAGGCAATCCACGGGTCACCTGTGGGTTGACTGACCCACGGGTGACCCGCAGGTTTGACTATGGGTGACCCGCGGGTCGACCACCCGGGTGGCGATAATGCAACCCAGGTCACCCGCCCACCCGCGGGTGACCCGGTTGACACCCACCCAGGTCAGAACACTAGTGGTAATAACAAGGCATTTCTATTTCTGAAAAAAAATAAAAAAAAAAAAATTTGCGAATTTATAATGAGACTCAAGTGAATAAATATTACGTTTAGATATATAATTTTTATTATTTGTTTGTTTTGTTATTTTGGCCTGCGTTCTCTTTTTCACTTAGTATTTTTCTGTTTGCACCGACTTTGCCTTTTTGTTGATTCATTTTATTTTGATAACTTAACTATTCTCAAGTGTTATCGAAGTTAATCTTCTAGTGTCATTTTTTGCAGCCTTTTTTCAGACGATAAATTCAATTTAAATATATCAAACCCTTAATTAGTTTAGTAATCAATTTCTTTTTTTTATTCAATTTAATGATCGAATTGCTAATTAAGGTTCTACAGAGGATTGCAAAATTTTTATCATTAAGTATTACAGGGGTGGGAGCTGGACATTAATAAGATTTCTATACATACGGCTATAAGGTCTTTCACTCCGTTCCCCTCCGCTCCAGCCCAATCAAAAAATTAGCTAGGCCAGACCAATTTAATTCGATAGTTTACGTTATCCCCTCCCTCACTATATATGCGGAAAATTTCGAAAACCTTTTATAATATTACGAATTATTTCAGAGAGATTTTTTATAATAAACTTCCTTTTCGTCTCCCCTCCCCCTCTTTTACGAGAAGGATGCGACAATAAATTTGTAGACACCACATTTCACTGACAACTACTTACCGACAAAGTTCATTTCACTGACAGTTTATTTACCGAAGCTTATTTTGCAGACAAAGTAATTCTAGCCAATAAAAAAAAACTTGTCAGTGAAATGAACTTCGTGAAATAGACTGTCGATAAAATGAACTTGTCGATGAATAATTGTCTGTGAAATATGGTGTCTATGAAGTGATTGTCGGTGAAACAATACGAACCCATTTAATTCTGGTCAAATTTGCAAGTCATTTGGCCTAACGGAGATGAGTTAAAGCACATCTTAAATAATCTGCAAATTTGACCAGAATATGATCTTTTTTACGTAACGACAAGCAAATTAAAGATTTATTAAACTTGCATGACTTATTGAAAATGGAAAATTAATAATGTCAAGATATTGAAAGGTTTCCAAACGTAGGTTATTTACTGTTACTGATTAGAGTTGGCATGTACTTACATTACTTAATGTTAGTCTTTTTTTTCTCAAGAAACAAAAAACAATTTTTGAAATAATTTTTTTTTTATAAGTTATTTTTTATTTATTTAAACACAACGTAATATTCGCCTATTAAAAATAACCCACAATTCCATTAAGATAACAACATGCCGATTTTTGATAATAAATAAAATGCCTTTATTCTCATCCTTTTCAACTCCAATTCCAGTCGCTATTCTCAATAATGAATATTCTATTCTCATTCTATTCAACTCTAATTCCAGCCACCAATCGCCGATTCTTGAGAATAAACAGACACCTTATTTTCATCTTTTTTAACTCCAATTCCAGTCACCAATCGTTGATTCTTGAATTTCTTGGGCTAATTTTCTAACTTTCCTCAATTTTGATTTTAAATAAAATAAACCCGAAAAAAATTATTAAAATCTCTTAAAATTTATAAAATCTCCGAATAAACGAATGCCTTATTCTAGTCGCCAATTGCCGATTTTAATAATAAACGAATCATCCTTTTCAGTTCCAAGCATTCCACGAGATCACCCCACCGTTGCTGATTTTTGATAATAAATAAATGTCTTAATTCTCGTCCTTTTCAACACCAATTCCGCCGCAAACCGCCTTTTCACGCTTCCGGATAATCTCGTCCTTTTCAACATCAATTCCGTTGCAAACCGCCTTTTCACGCTTCTGGACTGTACACACTTTAATTATTCTGAATTTTTAATTATTACCGTATAAGCGCGAAATAACGCGCAGGGGCGTTATTTTTAACAATGACCCGAATTAGGCTTAATTTAGGCCAAAATTCGAACTGGATAAGCTACAAAAAAAATAATGGTAAAAAAGAATGAGAAAAAAAATACACAAGAAAAGAATGCAAAAAGAACTAATACTTATCTTTCGGGTCTAGTTCACCACTCTTCGGTACTTCCTGATCTAGTTCACACTTTCCGGTCCAATTTCACACTTCTGGGCAACCTACAAATTAGTGGAAAAAGGAAAATACAAACAGAATAGAAAGCTAGAAAATTATACTCATCTTCTGGATCTAAATCTCCATTTCACAATCTACAAAAGAAGAAAAAAAATGCACAAGAGAAATACTTATCTAGATCCAGATCATTTTCAGCACTATTTCTTAGCACTTGCTAATATGAAAAAGAACGAAAAGTAAAATAAGTAAATAAATTGAAAATAAATAAATAAATAAAATAAAAAAATTGGATAATAAAATCTAACCTTGTAATACTGTAACCCAGTGTTGTCAAATTGGACAAAACACTGTGCCACAATTAGTTTTGGACATATGTCCAATTAGTTTTGGACAGTTTGGACATATGTCCAATTGATTTTGAAAACAATTGGACATATGTCCAATGCCAACACTGCTGTAACCGTTATAAATCGATAACGATAGTACGTATTTCTAATCGTGGTGCAATATAAATATTGAAAGCTTTAAGTCTAAATTATTTACTAAAAATTTAAATAGTACAGTTGGCCACGGCCAACGGTACTCAACATTTAAAATGAACTACCTACGGATCGACCCACGGGTCAACCACCCGGGTCACCCGACCCACCCGCGGGTGACCACCCACCCGGGTCCAATCACTATTTCAACATCAACCGTGACGTTTATTTTTGAGTGTTTTTTTTTTCTTTTTTTTTTTTGAGCTTGCAAAATTTGTTAAGCGCGTTGGTAATCTAGTTAATAAGATACTATCATAACCCATCGCATAAGACTTTGGTTGCACAGTTTTGCAAAGGTTGGTTAAGCATGATGGCATTCTAGATAAGCTGCTTATTATGTAAAGCTTCGGTTACATCACCATTTCTCAGGTTGCAACTTATAGCATATTCAGAATGATTTTTCATCTCATAAAAAACATTTAGCTATAGTATACTTATTTTTTTTCATTACACTGCATACACTTCACGCTAGCTATCCAAAAAAGATAAATTAAATATCAAATCTTTCGTATCCTTTTCGAGTGGCCTTCATTTTAGGTTGTTTAGTCACGAGATCCAGTCACCCCAGATCCAGCTGATCTGTCTTTGAAGTCGTAAAACAGTATGTCATGGATTTCTTAATAGTTTCGTGGTAACTTTTTTCTACTACAGTATTTGTGTATTTTGGCATTATTTCATTATTAACATTTGTATTACCTGAATGTATTTCTAAGGCATCAGGTTAAAATATGTCATTTTTGATTGGTAGTGCATAAATATTTTGAGGTATAATTTATGGAAATATCATTGAGATGTGAGTTTCAGCACTACTGTGTTAAGATGATTATTTTAGGATTAGAATTTACTATTCTAGGGCTTGGTATTTCTTTTAGTATTAGTATTCATTGCTATAGAAATTAAAGTAGACAGTCTATTTTTTTTTCAATGATGTTTGTATTTTGCATAATGAACTTATCAAAATTTCTAGCTAATTTGAACTTACCTTAATCTATGTTATTATCATTTAAGCCTTTTTTACAGTTGATTATGTATTTTAACACGATGGCCCCATTACTCTATATTTTACTACAACTGTTAGTTTCATAAAAACTTTAAATTGCTATAATAATAATTTTCCAGATTTCCATTATCATGTTTATTAAAACATTTAATAAAAATAAATAAAAGTATAAGCAACTATATAATAAAAAAAGAGCATAATTAAAAACGAAACTACTAAATAAGTACCAAATGATACCCATGGGACTTGTGTATTGCTAAAATAATTTTTTTTATCATAACAATCTATCGTAAACAAATATTTCTAAAAAATAATTATTTTAAGATAATTCAGCATTCTGATTTTTTTTAATAAGCTCAATTAATTGATTAATTTGGTTTAGGGGATCTTTTAATGCTTCATCTATTTGCTTTTTTAGCTCTTCTTCGGAATTTTTAATATTACAAATTTCCAATATTGCAGGAAGCAAGCTTTCTTTATCTTCAACACTTTCTACATATTTTTTAAGCTCATCAACTGAAGCCTCATAATATCTAAAAGTTTGAATTATATATTAGTGAATGGTACGTATAATATTTATCGCGAAATAACGCCCACCTGAGCGTTATTTTGAGTATATGGCGCGCGTTATTTAGATTACACATATGGGTGTTATTTTAAAACAAAGATAAAATTTTTTTAAACTGCCTGTTATATTAATTACTTGTTGAAACCATAATCACGGTAAAAAATTCGTATTTTAACAAATAATAACCAGCAATATATAATACAAATTATAACTTATCTACTATTTATATATGTATTTAAGCATATGGGCTGCCGTCAATAGAAATCAAGCAAATCTACATTTAAAAAAAATCAATACTTTAACTTTCGCAGCTCATATCTCGATGAATTTTAAAGCTATCTTGATGATTTAATATT